TGTTCTTAGGGAAACTTTTAAGAGTGAAAAGGAGTATTATTCTCACACAAATAAAAAATAGAAGCAAGGTGTGTCTAGCAATATGTAAAAAGAGATTGCATTCAGTTTTTAAATCATTATCAAAAAGGAATAAAACTGAATTAAAGCTTGTTTTAAAGCCTGGTAAAAACGTGTGGCGGTAAAACTTGTCCTATAATTACGCTAGAGCTGTTTTCATTGGTCTAAAAGAAGTCAGGTCAATCTATGTATCCAGGCAATCCTCTCAGCTCTGCATGGAGTGTAGCACACTGACAGCTGTTCTAGGAGGATCCAATGGGCTGGGATTTTGGTTTTCAAATCCGGCTTACCCAAAATGTTGGTGCGTCAGATAAATAACATCAAAATACAGGCTTTGATTAGATAAGCTTAAGTGAAACAGGGGATTTGATCCATTTCTCTAAGGTTATTGAATCCCCCGTAAGCGTCACTTAAAGCCTGGGAGAGAAAGTAGTACCTTTCTCAAATGATGTACAGTTTACAACACTGTGTTCAAATACTGAAGCCAAGACAAGAGCCCCGGAAATAATGCCACTCACAGTCACAGCTTTTCATTCCCGTGAAATACAACACCACGTCTCATTCCACCGGGGACATCCCTATATCAGCTGGCCTGCCTCCCTGTGCACTCATCTGAGAAACGTGTTGGCACCCCGCTGAGGGGACACTGCTGGCTCTTACCTGCGCTCCCGGTGAGGCAGAGGGTGCTGCTGCTGACGGGTGATGAAGGTGGTGCCCCACACCGGGCTGCTGTGGCTGTTCCTGAGCCAGCCCACGGGGGGGGAGGACGGGTACGGGGTGCTGCGGAAGCCATGGTCCGACTCTGTCTCTGCAGTCAGAGACGAGGCCGAGCTCCCCATCACCACGGCGATCGGAGGAAACAGTCTTGGAAGATGTTTGTTTAGCTTTTGGCTAAAGCACGAATGTTGACAAGGGATCCACACTTGTACTCAGTGAGACAAACTGAGATACATTGAGACTAAAGGGGTTCTTTGGAGCATATCATGCGTTTGTATTCGCTGTAAACCTTCTGCCATTTTTTCTTAAAGACCTCCAAGTTTGCAAGGTAAAGAAAAAACTACAGCAAAAGGGAATTAAAGATATAGAAAAATGTAACTTGCAGGTGGCTCAGTATGCAGGAGGGGTGTCCCACAGGGAAAGAAGTTCTCAATCCAAATAGTAATGTGATGCGTGTCGCACTGATTCCCATTCAGCATTCGCTCTCAGAGAGGAAGAAATGCAATTTGCTCACAGCAAAGGCTCGTAATTCTCCCTCTTGTAGACTCTAAGCTTGTAACACTCTGCAGCATGTCTTCCATAGTGCCACTCATAATTCCTCCCGCATTCCTTCTGACACATCTCCCCAATCTGTGCAGTCTCATGCCTGGGTCCCAGTGTCTTTGCACATGCTCAGGAAAACAATCAATTAGCCAAAGCAGGACAAGATGGGAAGCAGAAGTACGTGGTCTTTCAGCATCTCAGCAGTTTAACGAAACACCTCCAGGACAGCACAAAAGCATTATGATCCATAAAGACAGCTGATAGTGATGGTGGCATGGATCTTGCAGGAATAAAAGTCATAATAAATATATCCACGGAGTAATTTACAATGCGGGAACTGGAGGAAATCAATGCATTGCATTTGCTGGGGAAGGGTGTTGGCAAAACTACAAGTATGCTAATATCCAAAGTCTCATGTTTCAGACATCCAGTCCGAGTAACAGCTGCTGTGAAAGTTTCCCAGTAAAACACCCCAGCTGCGTTTCTCCAGCTGGATGAAAAGTCATATTGGGGAGGTCTTTCTCAGGGGGTTAAAAAAAAGAAAAAAAAGGAATCACTTCACAACCTCCACAGTTACCAAAGCATGAAAATGTTTTAGAGCTCAGCTGCAAGTTCTGTTTAAATCCGACCAAATACCGGAGAGGGATGTTCCGTTACGGGCTGCGGTGCTCTGCCAGAGATGATCCGAGTTTCCGCTGCTGTCTGAGGCTTAATTTCTGTCTGATCCCCGCGCCGAGGCCGGCCAGTCTAGTTCATCAACTTGCTCTGAGATTCATGTGGACTTGCCAGGCGGTCATAGCGAGGCTCTCTATAGGCGGAGGAAACAAGTATCGCACCATTTGCATGCATGTTTTGACATGTATCGATCGCTGGTAAAAGCCCTGAGGCAAAAGTCTAAGGAGGACGATATTCCGTGTATTGGTTATAAATTAATCATCGATTCAATGTAGCCCTCACTGCAAAGCATTACTTAGGTAAAAGAAAAGGTGGGCCACACAGGCTTTAAGAAACGCCAAGATAGCCGAAGAGGTCTCATCCAGGAAGCAGTACTAATACGCAAATGTCACCATCTTCCACCGGGTCCATCCCCAACCTGCGTTTATCTCATATTTCCTGCGATTGGGCTGTAGATTCTGAGGTTTATATTAGGCACCATCCTCGCTCCAGTCCCGCTGTCGCCTGCTCACACTGTAAAGCTGCTCCATCCCGTTTTAATGGCTCCATTTTGGGCACGTTATTTGCTGTACCCGCTATGTGTTTTCTTTTTTTCTTCCTCAGGCTTTAATTCTCCCTCACTGGTAGCGTGAGCGCAGTGGCCGAGGATGCAATCTCCTCCTATAACAGCGGATTACCGGAGTGTCAGAAGGGCGCATGCGCACTGGCTGACAGAGAGGAGCTGGGAGGCTGCGTTCAAGAGATTTAAATAAACCTCAATAGAGAGTCGTGGGGATCTCACTCTTTATTGTGAATAGGATCCCAGTGGTGGATGAAGTATTCAGATGTTAGTCAAAGTACAAAAACATTACTGTTAAATGACTTCATTCATGTAAAAGTCCTGCATTCAAAATCTTACTTAACTAAAAGTACCAAAGTATCATCAGATAAATGTACTTAAAGTATTAAAAGTAATCATTGTGCAGACAAATTGCCTTTATGTGTGTATATAATTATATATGTGACATTTTTAGATAATATTAGATAGCATTTTACTGTTGTAGAAAAACAAAGTTCTGATTTACTTTTTGTAAAATATTTCAATAATTGTTTCCTCCTTTCTGTTTAAAGTAGCCAAAGCTGTTTAACAATTGTAGGGCAGTAACATTACATTGTTTACTTTTAAATGTTGTGGAGTAGAAGTATAAACTATCATTACATGGAAATACTCTAAAGTATAAGTACCTCAAAATTGTACTCGAGTACAGTACTTGAGTCAATGTACTTAGTTGCTTCCTCGAAGCAGGCTGGGCAGGGTGACGCATCATTAGGAAAACACAACATGTATCGTTTACACATCACATGTCACGCTCACACAGTAACCTTAATGTTTCTTTGTTTTTATATGGGTTCCTTGGGGAATAAAGTCAGCTTTCAGTGCCAGAGGAGGAAGTGAAGGGTTAAGAAGAAGACAGTGGTGACTGCAACACTCATCATTGCTCAACTGTCCCTGCACATTACTGAGATAAGCCTTCAAACTTTCCCTCTCCTCCCTCTTCCACTTCACATCCCTTTGCTGACCTCTTTTCTGATCCTTCATGTTCTCCCTCTCCCTCTCTGAAATCAGTGTTCACCAGCTCACTGCATAAAGCACAAGCCTAACATGGCATGAAACTAGTCATGCAACATACATTTTTTAAGGTACTTTAATGCACCTAGAAGCGGGTTAACCATTAGCTGTGAACTACAAACGCAGTTCAAAGCTGGTTTCGCAGCCAGGTCATTTGTCAGGAACTCTGCTTAGTTTCACAGTAAGGGCGTGTTCTTAATGCACAATTCCAAAAAATGACTCCCGTTTCCTTGTTACACGTGTTGAGACTGAAACTGGTTTGTCTTTCAATTAAATTCCAGAAAACGGTACAGGCTAAGATATGCAAAATGTTGCTGACGTACATCTTAAGTCCTACCCTAGTTTCAGAGTGTATGGCTGGAGTTGTAAAGAATGTGTCATACAGAAAGCTTAACACAAACAGCTTACTTGTTTTTGTTACACAACGCCATTGAATGACCAAAGCAAGTGTGGGTTGTGCAATCACATTTGAGGAGTTTCAATTTAGCATCACCATGTCACAGCATGTACACAATTCAAAAGCAGTGGGAAAAAGACCAACAAAAACTGAATTGCGAAAGCAGGTCGTAGACATGGGAAAGCAGAAACCACACTACAAAAAATGGACTATGTCCCTTTTGTTAAGGGTGCACCTGTCCAACTGGGCCACCTGTCCCTCTGTGTCAGCTGCTGTGTCTCTGGGTGCCGATTTATAGTCAGAGCCAGAGAGTGAGAGAGATTACATTTCATTTCTTTTCTCCAGGGACATACAGGGGGAATAAGGGAAAGGGAGGATGTGAGCTGATTTCACGGTGGTACATTGTAAGTCATCTCTACACAACCCAAAAGTCTTGACTGTTACACACACAGTGACAATTCTCATAGCAGAACACAAATGATTGGACTGCAGTTCACTACCATCCAAATCAAGTAAACCTCTAAGATGTTATTTTGCTTTTACAGCCAAATCTTATATAATATAAGGGAAGTTCAGGCCTCAGGTCTGTAGTATCTCAAGATGTTCATGTTCCTGACCTTGCCCTTTGACCTGACCATCTCCCATTAAACAGAGACCTAGAAGAAACATGTTATTGTGTTATCCTGTTGTGCAGTGAAGCAGGCGGGAATAACATGAACTCCACTGCCGTCATGTGAAACCCTGTTTAAATACGAAGCAGTGTCACATAATCGATCTATTTGTGTCCACAGTGTAAGCCTGTGAGCCCTGTCACTGCCACCAACATTAGCTACACAGGGCTGCCAGATGAAAACGGAACAATCCCATTGAGACAGCGCGAACCGGGGACGCCGGGGTCCTTGTAAACAAAGACACTCTTATTCAATCATTTGGTCGACGTTATTGACGCGGCACCACGACCGTGTACTTCCTCAAGTCTACAAACAAATCGGTTATTCTTACCTTAAGTCGGTCGAAGGGGAATTATGCCTGTTTTCCAACCGTCTGTGCGTTAACTTTTCGCAGCCATGGAGACGATAAGTTCCTCCCGGGTTGTACTTTAGCCACCGTAACCTCTCCAGGCTCTAGCTTCGCGCTGTCCGCTGCTTCCGCATGTTTCACACATGTGTGACAAACACGTTACATGTACAGTTAGCTTTCCACTCCGTCAGGTATTCACGAGACTGATGCGACCGTGGAGGTTTACCTCAAACAGCCCAGGAAGGAAGGGGAATCTCCAAGGAGCAAATAGAGAACGCACGTACGTCAAATGCGTAGCGGGTGTTTCACGTTCCTTGCAGACGCACGTAAACGTACGTAAAGTCCATTCAGGAATGCGAGGGTAGAAAACTCAACTTCCCGTGTTCAACACGGATATTTTCAACTAGGATATCCGGGTATGAGTGTCGTCACCTATGACAGACATCAACCAAATAAAATATATTTGTATCTAAACCAAATGTTCTACATTTCTACTTAGAATTACAACAATATGGCACCACTATGATAGAATGTATAAGAAGAAGGAAATCAAAACCAAATCAGTATTTGATACATATATTTTTCCTACCGTTTGTTTGCTAATTTTTTATCTATTTGTTTTACTTTATCTTTCTTTCTTTATTGTTAGTACTTTTTCACTCTGTATGTGAAACTGTGTAACCCTGATGTCAATGTTTTGTGTTTATATAATGTATGATGTACATAAGTATTTTCTTAAATAAAGGAGGGAAAAAACACTATATTTATATGTGTAATTCTATTCTATAAGTTATGCATTTTTTCCCTTTGTTTACCTGCATGTATTAAATGTAATTACTTTATCGTCAATTAAAAAATAGAATAGCCTATATATGTATTATTTGCCCATGTAAAATATTTGTATATTGAATTGTGTGATTTTTTTTTTCTTTTTTCTTTTGTTAGCCTATATTTAAGCATACAACTACAAGTGTTGTTACCAGACAAACATCATGAGCTAAAATCACAGAAATCCCCTTTACCTCACTGGACAGTGTCAGATTGTGGCACTCTATCGCCATCTAGTGACACTCATTGTGAACTGCCTGATTTTAACCATTGCTGTCAGCAATTTGTGGAACTGGGTCCCAAAATGCAATAAAACACACAATTTCAAGTCTTGAAAATATTCTTGCACTCTACCAGATGCTTTAAATATGTTACTGAAATTATAGTTTTACCTTTATATAAAGTATCTAACAGGTGTGATATGATAGAGAGGATGGGGGCAGAATCCTCACTGTTATCAATTTGGGGATCCTTTGCAATGATAATAAATATAAATTACACCTAAGAACAGTTGGCCTATCCCAAAACGTAAACATGCTTATAATAACTTTACCACTACGTGTATTGCTGTTTATATAATTGGTCATTATGCCATGGTACTTTTTTTATTTGTTTAAAAAGGAACAATGCACCTTAATAAACACAAGCACTTAAGTCCATCATGTAAATGTGCCAGAAAAAGCCATAGAGGCACATTTGCATCTGCAGTTTTTTGTGTGCAGTATGGATTTATGTGTCTCGGTTTTTCATGTTTGGATGAATTTGTATGTACAGACATATTATATAATATATTATCACACTTCAAGTAGTGCAGTTACTCAATGATTGCTATTGCTGCTGCTTTTGGAACCACCATTACCCTGACAGCTGTAATTTATGCTGTAAGTACTATTTGAGAAAATGGAGTTACTTTGATCCATTGATCTAAAATGTGTGATTGCTTTGGAGCACTCAAACTGCAGCTAAAATTGTAAGTAGAAAATAAGTTTGACCTATTGTAGAATAACTATTATGGCCACTGCTTTTGTACACAATACACAATGTCATCAAGGGGCTGGGGCATTGTTTGCTTTATACTGTACTCTATTAACCTCAGTTCCAGGCCATACATCGACTTTTACGCCTTGGTGTATGCATGCAAGTCAAATGCCGCTTTAATTAAAGCATGTTGCCTTGTAAACTTGATAATACAAAATCTAAAGTTTTTAAATTCCTGTAATACTCTCATTAACTTTTGTTTTTGTATCAATTGGTGCGTTTAACTTATTGAGTGTATACATTGTTTAAGCTACAGCATGCCTACTTGACTAGTGTAGATGATATTGTAATGTTAAAGATTATGTGGGTTAGTCTTTTAAGTCATTTTTTTCCCCTTTATGCATTTTTCAGCAAACTACAAACAAAGAATGAGCCTAATTCAAGTGTATTCATAATACATCATGGTTGAGAACTCTCTTTAACATATTTTGAGTTAATATTTTCAGATTCCTTCAAGAAAAGTGTATAGACCAACAAGAAACCTGTCAACAAGATCATTTATAGAGAATTTTATTTTAACATGTCACTGTTTACCAAATTCAACTGCCTGCTATTCTTTAAAACCATGTGTGAAATCTAAACTTCATTCGGGTAAAGAGTAGCATGTGAAACATTCAGTGAGTCTACTCTGGATTATCTTAGTTAATGCCGGTGTCACCCGGGTTGTTTGAACTGGGGAAATTCAAAGGATTAGGCCAATATCAACAGGGTCATATAGGCCTACTTCAATAATGAGATAGCAGAGTGGAGCCTAAATACCTATTAATCTCCTATTAAGATAATTTGCCAGAATTCACATGAATGTGTTCAAATGTACAAACCATTTCTAAAAAATAAAATGAACCTAGGGTTTGTGTTAGGTGACTCGATTCCATGCAAATTACAGTTACTTTAACCTTAATCCCATTTGGGAACAGCAAACCATAGAGCTATACTTTTTGTCACATCTAACATATGCTTGATTCTATCACATCTATCACATTTTTTAAATCAAATTGTTTCTAATTACTTCATATTATCGATTTCTGTATCTGTTTTAATGATTGCTTTGAAAAATAATACCCAAATTAAAGTCCTGGGAAACCCCAGACCAAAACTATGCAATTTAAATTAATGATATGTAATGAGTTCATGTTTACCATAGGACCTCATTTACAGAAGTGGGGATTTACTCATGTGCTTAGTCTGTTTCTGTTTTACACAATATGCAAATTATCATTCACTTTCCTAATCTGATAATCCATCTTTTCAAATGACAGTAATATTAACAATTATGTCATAACTCTTTTTTTAAGAGCAAACTCAGGACCCACCTATTTCATTTCTAATAACTGAATTGTATTTTATTCTTATTTTTTATAAATTGTACTCTTATTTTAGTACTTTTTATTATTTGTATTTGTTTTAATCATTATTTTATTTCTGTTTTATTCAGTCCTTCGTTAGTATTAAGTGTTCTTTTTCAATCACAAAGCATGGTTTGGTTTTTGAAGTACTTTGAGTTACCTTTGTGGAGAAAATGTGCTATATGAAACTTTGATTAGATTTTGAACTATTAATTTAACATTTTTGTTATGATTGTTTCTTACAGTTTTATCCAGTAGGTAGACTAGTTATATTATATGTGTTGGTGTAATGAGGGTTAAAGGTTGACAGATTTAAAAAAAGTTAACCAATACATCTCAGTAATATCCTCGAACATGTTTTTGGGAAAAATACATCCTGCCATCACATAAGACACACAACCTATAAATCTCCCGGATCTCAGTGATTTATCTGCAGGGCTGAGTGAGGCGGAGCAAAGCATCCTTTGATAGAAGCAGACAGAGCAGCAGAGAATGAGTCTCTGGGCGGAGGAAGTTAGTGCTGGACGGTGTTCTCACTACCTCACATGTCGAGCAGTAAGGCTACAAGTGTCCACAGAGTCTACAGGAGAAGGAAATGTTAATACCGGTGTGACACACTTTTTAGCAACGCAACAAAAGTGAAGTTGGCGCGGTTAGCTAACACGGTCCGCGAAGGAAAGGAGGATTTATTCGTCAGGAAGGTATGTGAATGAATGCATCTTTACACACTGCTTTTGTCTCCACTAGGCACTTGTGCACTTGTTCGTCGCTAGAGCGAACTTATATCATTTCAGTCGCGACTTTTCTGTTGTTGTACGCTTGGGGCTAACTTTTCAGAAGTTTGCTAGCTAGCCAAAAATCTTCGTGGGTGTATTGTTTTCAACGGCTAGTGTCGGTGCGTACACACTGTTGTCATGACAATGCTAGGGAAACCCAGCGCGAGGCACGTTGAGAAACACAAAAGACACCAGCCTAAGTGTTCAGCTTCTTTTAAGACTTTCTCAAGCTACATAAACTCCCTTAAAGTTCACTGAATCTTTGAAATAAGACCACAGTGAGAGTCACGTTACTCACCTTTACTACTCTTTGTGAAAATATATAAAAAAAGACAGACAGCTTTTCTAGTTGTATGCCTTGGTATCCCGTGTCAGTGGAAAGAAGAGCACTTTGGGAGGGGGTCAGAAGGACAGTGGGGTAAAGTAACTAAGTACATTTACTGGACTTAAGTAACATTTTGAGGGGCTTGTACTTAACTGAACTACTTTGTACTTCTACCACACTACAATTTAGAGGTAATTCGTGTACTTTTACCCCACTACATTTATAATAACCATTTATATATAATAATAATAATAATAATAATAATAATAATAATAATAATAATAATAATAATAATAATAATAATAATAATAATAATAATACCTTTAGTCACTTTTCAAATGTTGATTAATGATTTGAATTATATAAATAAGACACATGGAGTACATTTCACAAGCTACCCTGCAGAATACAAATACATTAAAACTTGCTGCACCTTTACAAGCTTTGAAAACACTTTAATGCATAAATACTTTTAATCAGTACATCGAATATATTTTATTCTAAAATGGGCCACTTTACATAATTAGTACTTTTACTTTTGGTTCTTTAAGTGTATTTTGATGCTAATACTTTTGTACTTTTACGTCAGTAACATTTTGAATGCAGGACTTTACTTGTAACAGAAAATGTCTGAAACAAAACCACACTGAGAGTTATGTTAATCTCTTTTACTTCTCTTTATGGAAATATCAAAAAAGGTCAGACAGCTTTGCTAGTTTTATGCATTGGTATCCTGTGTCGGTGGAAAGAAGAGCACTTTGGGAGGTAAGGGGGTCAGAAGGATATGTGCAAACTGTTGGGCTAAGGTGTGTCCTGTGTTTATATGAGACAAATTGTGACCCTGCTAGTCAGGAAAAGGATGCTTTTAGTCGGCTCTTTGCTGTTTTATGGCCAACACACATGTGGAAATGACAGGCTTCCACAGTAGAGAGTGAGTAACACAATTGTCTTAG